CCATCTGCTCCTCAGTGGGTGCTGCTCTGAGGAAGCAGAGGAGAGTGTGGGAGAAGATAAAAGAGAAAAATTAAACCCTTCCTGAAAGTTTCATCAAAGGCCTGTTTGTGGTGCCGAGGGGGATGCTGGAATGCTGGAATACTGCCTTACCTTCACACAAACTTCATTCCTAACCCCCACCTCATTATTTCCCAGCATCATCCCCGACTTTGGCAGCTCAGAGAGACGAGCTCATGATTTGCTTTCTTCTGTGCCTGATCAAAACACTAAACATGGGTGTTTATGTCCCTCACATCACCCTGAGTCTTCGTGCAGGAAATTTAGCTTTGCTTGAGGGGGAAAAATAGTAATAAATAGTAATATTAGTCCTGTGATCCCTTCCCTATTCAGGACATGAAGCTTCTCAGACATTTCAGAGTCTCTGAAAACATTGAACGAAAAGCCTGAGATCAAATAACTCCAACAGGAGCCCTTTGGATGTTCTGAAAGCTGCACATGGCTGCTGCCATCATTAAATTGAGCCAGGATTTCATTAATGTCTTGGGAACAGGGATCCACTCCCCACCCTTTCACACGCTTTGAAAAGACTGTGGTTACCTTTGGGTTTTTAAGAAGAAGTAATTTTGTTTACTCACAGGGAGTAAAATTGCAGAATCTTATTCCACGTGGGGCCATTTCTGTGACATCAGTGGCTGGAACCTGATGGCCAGACACCCCAAAACCGTGGCCAGACACCCCAAAAATGTGGCCAGACACCCCAAAACCATGGCCAGACACCCCAAAACCATGGCCACGCATCCCAAACAGCCTGAGAGAGTTACAGATGTATCCACAAATCATGGAATCATGGAATGGTTTAGGTTGGAAGGGACCTTAAAGCCCATTGAGTGCCACCCCTGCCATGGGCAGGGACACCTCCCACCAGCCCAGGTTGCTCCAAGCCCCGTCCAACCTGGCCTGGGACATTCCAGGGCTGGGAAGCCTCTGGGCTCTCTGGATTTGCTGACTGTCATTCCTGCTGGTGTTCCAAGCCTGCCTTGGGCAGTGGTTCCCAAACTCTGTGCTCTGAACATTTGTTCCTCCCCAGACTTTTGATTTCCTTTCTGGAAGAGCAGTTGTCAGGCCGGACTTGTTTTGGTTTCCAAAAGCTGACACCAGAAGAACTTTCCCATTCTGTTTGATTGGAGTATAAATATGGATGTGTTCTGTCCTAAATATTTCATGGGCAAAAGCTGTATTTTTTAATGCTCACCTTAGTGGCACAGCAGTACTTCCCCCCCTCCACTTCCCTGCCCAGGGGGGTTTGCACTGCTGGAAGTGCTAAAAGCACTTTGCTGAGCCCCTGCTCCCATGGGACAGGGCCTTCCACAGGGAAACAATCCTTGTGACAGCTGGAGAGGGAATGTGAGAATGGATCTTTATAACCCAAGTCCCTGCTTGCTTCCTTCCTGTCTTCACCCAGCAAAGTCTCTCCTTTTCCCTGGATGAGGAGTGTTCCTGGTGAACAGCAGGGGATGAAACCTTCCCCTTCCATGTTCATTCCACGGGGCAGGACCTTGAATCACCCGAGCTCGTGCTCTCCCTGGATGCCAGAAGAGCTGCCAGGGAGGCCCAGCATCCCTGTGTATTATCCCTGAGGGAAAGAAAAGGGAAATCCTGGATTTGGATGGCACTTTGGAAGTGAGAGATGCCAAGGAAAGCCCCCGGGAGCTGGATTGGTCCCTGTCCTTCCCTGGAGCAGTGGGCACCTCGGAGGGTGCTGCTGGCAGGGATCTGCACTTCCCCACGAGTTTCTCACTCAGCCTCCTTGGGGAGCTTCCCAAAGCTGCCAGAGAAGAATCCAGGCCTGGGGATTCCCATCCCAACACCCTTCCTACCTGTGTTAACCCAGCCTAGGGCTGTGCTCTGGTCTCTGTGCCTGGAATGGAGCTTGGCACTGGGAAGGGCTGGATCCCCCTTTTCTCTGGGGCTGGGCTCTCTCCCCTGGTGCCTGGTGGCCTGGCTTGCTCCATGTGGATTGATGGTGTACCTGGAATGCTCACAGGAGGACAACCCCCCTGGGGAAGCAGCATCCACGTCCTGTGGTGCTCCAGGAGGATGCACAGACACCCAGGCTGGGTGGGACCTTCCCACCACAACATGGGATCCAGGCAATGGATCGTGGGAAAACTGTTTCTGCTGGGGAAAACATGGACTTCTCAAACTTCCCTTCTGGATAGAGCTGGGTCTGGTTTTTCCTTCCCAGCAGCTGCTCAGAAGTACCTTGAGCAGCTCCACAGATGGTGTTCACAGCTCCAGATGCTTCACATCAGGACGACTCAGTCCTGCCCAGGTTGAGCCCAGAGGGATGGAGCCTGAGCCCAGGATGTCATTCCAAGGCTGCCTTTCCCAGTGCCCTGACAATCCTGGGCCACTGAAAGGCAGGGATGTGGTGTCAGTGCTGCTGGAAACCCGCAGACATTTCTGTCAGTTCTGCAGGGCCGGGCACTTTGATCCTTTGTGCTCTCAGATTCCCACATGGAGGCTCATTCCAGCACGAGGAAGAGCAAAAAATTGCTCCTTAAAGAAGAAAGGATGAGGGAAGATAAAGAACCTCAAAGCAGGAGCCATTGCTCGAGATCTGGAGAGGAACATGAAACTCCGAGGCGGAATCTGCTCTTAAAACCTCCGAGTTTTAAGAGAAGCTCTTAAATCTGCTCTTAAAACCAGGAGATAATGGGGCTCCTGGACAATGGGGCTCCACGATTTCCCACCTCATGCCAGGGAAATATCCAACAAAAGGCACGGGCTTGAACAGGCACACTTGTTGCTTCATGGTTTCAGATCTCTCCATGGGACCAGCAGGAACACAGGGTCTTTTGTGAGATCTCTGACACTGAAAGTTTTGTGTCACCTCAGGAAACTTTTTCAAATACTTTGTGCCCTCAAAGGGGATCTGGAAGTTCAGTGTCAGTTTGGAGATGACGCATTAGGAACTGGCCTCAAAGTCTTGTCTCTGTCAGTGGTTTTTAAGATTAATCCAAAGCCTGTAATGAATTCCTGTCTGTGCACTGCAGTTGGAGGGAATAAGGGAATGAACCCAATAACTAATCAAAGTCCCTGTGGGGGTGTGGGAGGACACCACGAGCACAACTACAAAGCTTTTTCTGTCTCTCTGATCATCCCTGGATTGAATTGCTGCAAGAGGCACAAAGCTGTCCCTTGGCTGAGCACGAGGTGCCACCAGAGCAGACCCACAGACTGGTCTGTCCCTCACCTGCTGCTGCAGGAGCCAGGTATTTCTGGGGCAGCCTCTTCCTCAGGAATTTCTTCCTGGAAAGGGTGGTCAGGCACTGGAAGGGGCAGGGAGAGATGGGATATTGGGAAGGAATTGCTGGCTGGGAAGGTGGGGAGGCCCTGGCCCAGGTTGCCCAGAGAAGCTGTGGCTGCCCCTGGATCCCTGGGAGTGTCCAAGGCCAGGTTGGAGCAGCCTGGGCTGGTGGAAGGTGTCCCTGCCCATGGTAGGGGTGGCACTGGGTGGGCTTTGAGGTCCCTTCCATCCCAAACCAGTCTGGGATTCTATGATTCTTTCCCTGACTGCTTGACTTGATTCCTCCCACTGACACCAACACAAACCATGTCAGTGCAAAGCTGGGGGTACAGAGGAAAATAAGATTTCCCAAATCTGAGCACTGATTTGATTGAATAAATTGGTGTCTCTTTGACTTATTAAACCAACTTCTGAGAACCAGCTTGTTCTAAGAACTGGCGAGTGGCCCAGTGGCACTGAGCTGATGGAGCAGGGGGCAAATCCAGTGTTGGACTGAGCCCCCAGCTGGAGTGATCCCTGTGGATACTCCAGGGGAAGCTGATCTTATTTTTTCAGTGATATATAACCAATTCTACCCCTTTTGTAACTATGAGCCTGCTTCTTCTTGCTTGCAAATTTACAGTTCTCTAGAATTATAATAAAATTCCCAATCTTACATGTACATATAAAATACAGCCTTCCTAGTGCACTACCCAGGTGTCAGGTATTGCTGCATAAATGAATTTAAAAAACATTTAATGAACCACTTGTATTTATAATTTGAACCAGAGAAAACCAGCAAAAGCAGAGGTTTGGATCCCAACCAGCCCCACACTCTGTGAGCAGGGCACACACTGTGCTGCTCCCCCAGACCTGCTCCCAAAACACAGCTCACCTGCAATCTGCATTTATAGCTCATCATTTCTGCAGGATGGGGTCGGATACCCATTTGATCAGTGGCATCTGAATTTCCCAGGAAGGCAGCTCCTTCGTTTTGCAGCGTTTATGGACTTTGCAGGGATAACAGGTGGGAAGCAGTGCAGGGATAACAGGTGGGAAGCAGTGCAGGGATAACAGGTGGGAAGCAGTGCAGGGATAACAGGTGGGAAGCAGTGCAGGGATAACAGGTGGGAAGCAGTGCAGGGATAACAGGTGGGAAGCACTGCAGCGATTCCCAACCAGCCCCGAGTGACCCCTCATTGAAATGCGAGCAGGGATTTGAAATGTCAGGGTGGTTTGTGCTGAAACACAGGGAAAAAACATGACATTTGGAACGACTGAGGCCATCACCATATTTCTGCCTTGGGCAAGTCAGGGTGAACTTTCCATCCGTGGAGCCAAACCAGCCTGAGCCCTGCTGGGAGAGCCGGGTGGGCACGGCACTGGCACCGGGAACTGGGAGGGGGGGCCAGGCTGGAGGAGTCCTGGAGCATCCTGCTCTAGTGGGAGGTGTCCCTGCACTTGGGAATCAGGTGATGATGGGTGAGATGTACACAGGGACATCAGGAGGGGACTGAATTATCACAGAATCACAGGGTGGGTTGGGTTGGAAGGGACCTTCAAGCCCCTCCAGTTCCAGCCCCTGCCATGGGTGGGACACTTTCCACTGGCCCAGGGAGAGTCTTCAGCCTGTGAAAGGGAACACTGGAAAAGCAGTAGTTTGGTTGAATGCTGGGAAGAGACAAATGATTTGTCCCTGCTTTGTTCCCAGGAGAGGATGGACAGTCCTGGATCAGCCCCTCGGTGCCGACAGCGCTTCCTGTGGAGATCAGAGCAATGAACAACTGGGCACTGCTGGAGCAGCAGGGAAACCTCTCCTGGGGCATGTGGAGGTGAGCATGTCACCAAGGGACAGGATTTAAAGAAAACCTGGCAGTAAAATGTCACTGGTAAATCCAAACCAGCATCAAATTCCATGGATTGTGGTTACAGAGGGAGGCACGGACAATAACAGTGGGAATGGTGGCCTGGAGGTAGTTTGGGCTGGAGCAGCCCCAGGTGTTGGGGAGTCCCCCTCCCTGTGCCCAGTGCATGGCCTGCAAGTCTCCAGAAGGGGGGTATTTTGTGTCTACTTTCTTTCTAAAAGAAGTTTAATTAATCACTGACTCATCCTTTAATTAGAGATGCTGTTGCCATTGTCTGGACTACTCCTGGCTCTGCCTGAGGAATTATCCCTGTGTACACTCCCTGCCTTTAAACCATTATTAATGGCAGGATTTACACACCTCTCTCAATAACCCACTGCTTCTCAATCCTTTCACTCTCTGGACTTTGAAGGTTTGGCTCTGCTGAGCAGCCTAATAAAGGGGCACAGGGAGATGGAACTCACTCATTAATAATTTGTGATGGGCTCTGCTCAGCAGCCGAACACCGAGATCTGCAGAAAAGTTGTGAGACAGAATCCAAGCTGGCATTTGATTTAATCAGGAGCTGGGATGCTCCAGGGCATCCTGTGGAGAGACAAAGTCCCAGGTGCTCCCGTCTGCACGTGGGGTTGGGAAATACCCCCGTGAGAGCCCAGCTCCCTGTGAGCCCTCAGAGACGCTGGGGATGGTGTGGGAGTGGGTTACAGCTGGCTGGCAATGTTAGGAGTTGCTTTCCTGATCCAAAAATCACATGGGTGGCCTTTTGTAGTCTGGCTGAAAAAACCTGGCTACCAGGGCCTGGGATCCAGTGGCATCAGAGCTGCTCAGGGACAGGGGATTGGGAAGGGATGTGGGGCTTCAGCTGGGCTTGGGAGACTGTGAGAGGCCATGGACAGAGGAATGGCTTCCCACTGCCAGAGGGCAGGGAGAGATGGGATAGTGGGAAGGAATTCCTGGCTGGGAGGGTGGGGAGGCCCTGGAATAGAATTCCCAGAGAAGCTGTGGCTGCCCCTGGATCCCTGGAAGTGTCCAAGGCCAGATTGGAGCAACCTGGGACAGTGAAAGGTGTCCCTGCCCATGGAGGGGGTGGAATAAAATGGTTTTTAAGGTCCCTCCCAATCCAAACCGTTCCAGGATTCCATGATTCTGTTGAGGAAAGGCCAGTTTTCCTTGATGGACTTCTCTGTTTAATAGTAAAAAGTTTTACATTCTTGTAATTAGTGGCCCAAACTTGTGTTTCAGAGCGAATCATTTAAGAGCTGACTGTAACAAGTGTTTGCCTTCAGAATCTCATCTCAGCTGCCAGCTCTGGCTCCTCCATTCCCCAGCAGGATAATGACCCCAGAATTAGCAACCCTCCTGCTTGTGCAGTCCAGTCACTCACTCCCAGGCAATTACTCTCCACTGTGGATTCAGGAGGAGAAGAATACAAATGGAATGTGTGACCTGAAGGGCAGAGGGGAAGGAGTGTGTTTGTTTTATGTTAAAAGCAAAGAGCTCCCAGTCCTCCTGGCAGCTGTGCCTGGAGAGGACGTGCATCCCAACAGCACCATCATGGCCTGGCATCTCTCCTCCAGTCCTGCTCTGTCTGTTCTCTGGAAATCCTGGGCTGCCTGGAGCAGGTCCTGTGCTGGAATTAAACATTATTCAGATATTGGGTAGGAATTGCTGGCTGGGAGGGTGGGGAGGCCCTGGCCCAGGTTGCCCAGAGAAGCTGTGGCTGCCCCTGGATCCCTGGAAGTGTCCAAGGCCAGGCTGAACAGGGCTTGGAGCAACCTGGAATGGTGGAAGGTGTCCCTGCCCATGGCAGGGGTGGCAGTGGATGGGCTTTGAGGTCCCTTCCAACCCAAACCATTCCAGGATTCCATGAGTGCACACAACCCAAATTTTGCAAGGTTTCATTGTGTTAATGAGCATTGAGATAATTGGCCTGGATTTGCAATGCCCAGTGTAAATCCCCAGGGATTCTGGCAGGGGGTTTTGTGCCAGCCTCCCACAGGCCCTGGGGGCAGCAGGGACAGCCATAATCCCTGGGGTGGGGTGTCATGGCCTGGGCTCTTTCACAGGAAGGAATTTTGGGAAGTGATGATGGCCTGGGGCACATGGAGAGGTGCAGTCCCCACGGATCAGCTCAGTCTGCTCTGTGCTGACCAAACCAAGGTCTGAACTCTGCTCCAAGAGCTGGTTCTTCCCTTTAGACACCTGGAAAAGGGGCTGGGGCTGTGTCTGCCTCAGTCCTGGGTTTGTCCCAGCCACAGGAGCTGCCTGTGCTCCAGGGATGGCACAGGGATGTGAGTGCACAGCAGGGGGCTCTTTAATATTCCCAAATCCATTAGCATAATGCCTTAGGATTCCTGTCAGCTTCCTGTGGAAAGGCCCAGAAACTGCAGCAGGGCTAGGACACTGCTTTTCCTCTGTCTCACAGAGTCCCAGAATGGTTTGGGTTGGAAGGGACCTTAAAGCCCATCCAGTGCCACCCCTGCCATGGGCAGGGACACCTTCCACCAGCCCAGGTTGCTCCAAGCTGGCCTTGGACACTTCCAGGGATCCAGGGGCAGCCACAGCTTCTCTGGGCAACCTGTGCCCACCTTCACAGGAAAAATGTGTTTTCTTGTGTTCAGACAGAATTTTATAGTGTTTAATTTGTGCCTCTGTCCTGTCAGTGCTGAGAGAATCCTGATTCCATCCCTGTCATTCCCTCCCCTCAGGAATTCATCCACATGGATAAGATCCTCCCCTATTAAAATGAAATTGGGGCTTGCAGAGTGCACTGTCCTGGGGCAGGGAGTTCTGTAATGAACTGCAGAGCCACAGTGACACAGAGTGCTCCCTCTGCTTCAAAAACCCACCACGTACCACATTTTTGGGGGCATTTTTCTCTTTCTGCCAGAAATGTCTTTGATGGTGAGACTGAGCCAGGAAAGGTTCATGTGCTGGGGCGACAGGGCAGGGCGTGGGAGGAGATGAACAGGGGCTAAAATGGTGAACAATCCTGAAAAATCACTTTTTTAATTGTCAAACCCAAAGTAGGTCCTTTTTCCTGTTTGTGGCAAGAGGAAGATGAGCCCTTAAATTCTGCAGGGCTGTGCTTTGGGCACATCAGGGGCAATTTTGCTGCTCATGTGTGTCCTACACTGAAGGTCATCAGAACAATTCTGTGCTTGATCCTCCTGCTGCTGGAACAGGGAGGTGTCCAGGCTGGGCTGAACTCTGGGCTTACAGCAGTGTCCAGCACAAGCAGGAAAATGTCAGTTCTCCAGGAATAAGAGAACAGCTTGGCAGGGCACAGCTCTAACTGGTGGTCTGAGTAAAACCAAGAATTTTGCTTTTGTCCTTGTGGAAAGGACTGACTCGTTGATAAGTGTCAGGGGAAGAAATGTGTTGTCAAATCACCTGCAGGGGGTAAAAGGAACGGAACACGGATCCTCTGAAGCTGTGGTGTGGATCTGTCACTCTCTGGGATTGTTGGGGAAGTTTGGGAAGTGAAATATGGACATTGCCTGCCCTGGGCACAGAGGGAGGGGTGGGAGGGGGTTGTGATGCTCTGAACAGACCAGAGGGATTCCAGGATACAGTGGGACAAGGTACCACACTCTGGCAGTGGGAAGCCATTCCCTGTGTCCTGTCCCTCCATGCCTTGTCCCCAGTCCCTCTCCAGCTCTCCTGGAGCCCCTTTAGGCCCTGCCAGGGGCTCTCAGGTCTTCCCGGAGCCTTCTCTTCTCCAGGGGAACCCCCCCAGCTCTCCCAGCCTGGCTCCAGAGCAGAGGGGCTCCAGCCCTGGGAGCATCTCCACGGCCTCTCCAGCAGCTCCAATTTTCCTCCCTGCTGGGTTTAAGGCACCAGTGGAATTGTGAGGGGAGCAAATGAAGGGAGAACAGATGTTGTGTTATCTTAGCTGGGAGTTACTGAACCCACTGAACCAGTGTCTGTGCATTTGTGTGCAGGGAGGCCAGTCCAGGGTTTAATGAGGGAATGAGTTTCTGGCTGAGGACTCAGGAGTCACCTGAGCTTGTGGGCACTGTGTCTGCAGGTTTATTCCATAACTCCAGGGGAGCTCCAGGTTTCTGACCCTGTAGGTCTGTTCTGTTACTCACTAGGGAAGGACAAGGACCTGATCCTGACTGAGCAGTGCCACTGGAATAGCTAAATCCAGTCTCCCTGTGGTGCTGAGGAGCCTGTCTGACTCCACAAGGAATTCTGTTTAAAAACAGGGACTCTGTTTCCTGGAGCTGCTTCATCTCAGGTCTGTGTCACTCGTCAGCAGTGACCCTGAGCACAGGTCCATTGCCCTGCACCCCAGGAGGCTTTTGGGGGTAAAACACAGCCTCCTGCCCCCTCTCCCTTCCCACTTTAGCCCCAGTGCCATCTCAATCCCAGGCATTTGGGGAGCCCCCCCGGGAGCTGCCCTCTCCCAGGACCATCAGCCCCACTCCAAGTGCTCCTTCCTCTGCTTCACACAGGAAAAGGATTCTTTTTGTAGGAGTGGGGCTCTTTTCCCTGCACAGCACTTTGACCCAGGGATGCTCCTGCAATCCATCCTCCCCTGTCCTGCACTGCTTTGGGCCCTGCCTGTGCAGGAGCTCCTAATGGAGCAGCTCCCAAATGGCTCCAGGTTTGTTCAGGACTGTTCATTTCCCACAGAGCAAACACATCTTTGGGCTGCAGCTGCACATGGCGTAGAATAAAGGCAGTGTTGCCTGGAATCATAAATCTCTGTGAGACAGAGCAGAGGCACAAAAGGTGTTTGAGTGCTTTGCTCTGTGTGTCAGTGATGGAGAGGCCTTGGCTTCCTTTGCCACCTCTCTCAGGGCAGAAGACTCTTCCCTGTTTTCCTCCCAGACAGAGTGTAAGACATTGCCTGCTGCAAACCACCAGTGGCTTTGAGCTGAAGGAGGGCAGGGATAGATGGGATATTGGGAAGAAATCCTTCCCCATGAGGGTGGGGAGGCCCTGGCACAGGTTGCCCA